GGTGGCGGTGGCGATGGCGGTGGCGGCGGTGGTGGCGGTGGTGGCGGTGGGGCGGTGGCGGCGGTGGCGGCGGTGGTGGCGGTGGTGGCGGTGGTGGCGGTGGTGGCGGTGGTGGCGGTGGTGGCGGCGGCGGTGCTGGTGGCGGCGGCGGTGCTGGTGGTGGCGGCAGCAGCCGAATTCTTGCTGCGAAAACAGCAGCGCTTATGCACTATGTTTCATGACTATCATACACTCTCATGCACAAAGACCATCATCATGTTCAACAAGAGACGCACATTTCATGTTGCGCTGTAGCCAGGCACGCCTCGGAACCTGTGCAGCGAGAGCACTGGCAAATGAAACCTCAGAGGCTTGCACGAACAGAAGATCTGCGTTACATGAGCGATATGCGGACAAGGACCAACAATAAAAGCAGCTGACAGCCAGGGCTACAGGCTCAACAGATGCAAGAGGCATTTCGACCGCCACAGAAGCCATCTGCGTTGGCCAGTAGGAAGCAGTAGCTCTTCACCCAGGTAGGAGATAGTGAGCTCCTGCATCTATTGAATCCAAGGGCCGGTCCTGCTTCCTCTGACTTTGGTCGTCCACACCTCGCCCTTGCGAATAGGTCGCAGCGTGCGTAGTCCCCAGCGGCCGGGAGCGTTGGTGAACACGCAGTTGGGAGCGCAGCTGTGGTTGATGCGACCTCGCTGCAGAGGGTGCTTCAAAAACCGAACGATAGCTGTGGCATGTCATCATTGACACCTCGCCAAGGGGCTCATCGTCCAAAAGACCCTACCACCAGGAAAGATGTTCCTGAGAGGATCACTCTCGAGAAAGCTAGTCATCCCCCTCGCTGTTGACAAAAGCAAGACCAGATCTCATTCGAGCAGCATTTCTGTCACCAGGATTCCGATTTGTAACCACTCCACCTCGAAGGCCTGACACGGCTTCACACTCTCCGAACTCCCCATACCTACATCTCAGTTAGGCATGAAAACTTGAGCTATTTCGTCTACATCTCCGTGCCATATACTTCTGCATGAAGCATGTCTGCTGTTGACCCGGAGTCCTCGGAACAAAACAAGTATGAAAGTCTGGCAGCCGGGCTGGGGTTTTAAGTTTGCAACAGACTCGGCTGGATGGAAACAATCGCGACGTTTCAACCTCATTGATCTCGACTAACTACAGTACAGGCCTGGTGCGTCGGGTGTGCATGCTGCGGTCTGCCACAAACCCATCACACAATTAGCTTCTGGCCTTGCATTCTGGCAACCGCTCTTTACAGAGCTTTGCAAGTTGCAGAGCGACGTCGACAAGCCCGTGCTCCAAGTCCAGCGCAGGGAAGCTGAAAGACAACAGAGCACCTGAAGAACATCGAATCATCGGATCTGAAAGGGTCCAGATTCTGTGCTGCGCCTGCTATAGTGCAATACTGTATCTGGGCTAACGGGGAAAGGGTCAAGATTCTGATTCACACACCATGGATTCTCGAGCCTCGCAGGCTCTCCGGCATCTTTACAAATCCGAGGACGTCCCGAACGAGCGCGGTACTTGCCTCGTGCAGGGAGAACTTGTCTACCTCGCACCTTTCTCAAACTCTCTTTGGCCATCCTCCTGAACCACCACACCAAAGACTTGCTGCCGAAATCCAGACAAGAACTTCACACAAGGTTGCTTTTGCGGCTCTCTCACCTCTTGAAACGATGCTGTAGACATGCCAGGATGCTAGCAGAGGCTTCTCCTTCTCGCTATCTCCACCAGGCAGCCGCATCGGCGCTTTGATGCGAGTGAAGGCGGCGCTCCAGTCCTGGCAGCGCCGAGCTTGGCTCCAAGCCTCAACCGCAAACCAAACATCCCTGCGCTTGCCTCGTCCCATTCTTTCCGCCCGTGCAGCTCCGCAGGCGGCGTCCGGGTGTAAAAGGGCTCCTCCTCTCAAGAGACAGACGAAGGAAGGACCCTTCACCCAACGGCCAGTTTCGGCCCCACATTTTCCTTAATCCTCGCCTCAAGGAGGATCTGATTCTCTGGGAGGTCGCAAACGGCGTAGGCGGACTTGCCCTGACCTGCGGCAGACACGGGGACTGCTGGTGTCGGTGTCAAATCCCGCTGCCTTCGGCGTTTCGGATCTCCAGAGGCCACGATGGAACACCGCTGGATGTCGGAGGTGTGTGGCCACAGCTGAAAAGGAAGCAACTCTTGCGCCCAAACTTGCCTCAAAGAGGAGTCAGGTGGCAGATGGTCTTTCTGGGTCGGAACCATCACGCAGACAAGCGGCGAACCACAAAACGCATGCAGCAGCGTTTGTCCTCGCCTGCAAAAACACAAACGACTCCTAGGCTCAGAGGCTGGTCAAATCAAAACCGCAGAAATGCCGGCTTGCGGGTTCCGCCTGTCATGAGAGGGATCGACACTTCTTCACCAGGAGCCTGCACTGCCTGAGACCGAGACGACATACAAAACTCAGAGCGAGAAGACCCTCCGTGGCCTCGATGGCTGCTTCTGCTTCAGCCGCACAGCCCTCGACCACAAGCGAGGTCCAGGCCTTCGGAAGCAGCTTGCGATGGGGAGAGCAGCAGCCCTGCTCTCTGAGTATCTCTTCATCTCCCTGAGCACTAACTCTCCTTCAAGCCTGACCCATGACATCTTGCGACTTTCGGCCAAGGACCTGGCAGTCACAAAAGGAAAGCCTGGTAGCAGCTGCAGCCTGTGAACAAGGCCTCCTCCGCCCGCTTGTTCCAGGAAGTGATGATGCCCCCTTCCTGCGGAGTGATGGGGCTTTCAAAGATGCCTCTTCTGTTCCTGGTCACCGCCTTGAAGGAAAAGGAAAGCTGAGACCAGGATCGCCTTCTGCAGTGCCAACTTGCAAAACTACATGACACCTACACCACAGAAGCCTGCTCAAAGGCCCCCAAAGGCCCCCAAAATTCTAGGGTCGCCGCTCGATGGTGCTCTTGTCCACTCTCTTCTCCGCTGGGTAGGCAGGCATTCTGCGCTGACATTGCGCCAGAGAGTTGCGAGCTTGTGTGAGCTAGCAGTTGGTCGTTGTCACCGAAATGGTTTTTGTAGTTTTGAAAAGCCTGAGCAGGAGATATCCCCTGCATGGATGTGTCTTGGAAGCTGAATGAAGCTGACATGGCTGCTCGGAAAAGAAGCTCGAGATACTGTGCTAAGAAGTATGTAAAAATGCCGGGCACATGCCCCCCAGCCAACTGTCGACTATGCCGGGATCCTTTTAGACACCTTTTAATCTGCGCGCAATGCAGATCCACATCACTGACCTAGGACAAGCGGGCGAGAGAGTCCCGACACAGGCTTGAACCAGCTCCAATTCGAGGGCTGTGCGAAGCTGGTTCTGGGCCTCATGCGAAATCGCTTCCGGAAGCGTTCGAGCGCGGCATCGTCGGTGGCGCTCTGCGGGAGATTGCAACAGGCTGAGAACCGTAAGACAAAGACGAGCCAAAGTTCGGCGCAGCGGCCTTGGAGTCGTCGCGCCGATCGACGTTCATGAACCTTCAAAACAGCAGAGACTCTAAGCAGAAGCGGCTCCGACTTTCACAAATCCCGGCGGAGCATCCTTTTCAGCTACCCGTTGGACCACACGCGCCTGGATCCAAATGCCTTCCTCGTGACAGCATCGGTCTCGATGACAGCTCCCCTGTCCAATCTAATTTGTGATTCGTGTGAGACTGGGCAGTTCGGAGGCATGGCTTCTCCAAGCGTGCGCGGCAGCACGGCTTGGCGCTCGCGTGTTCGCCATAGAGGTACTCCCGCTTAGCCTTCTCTGTCGCCTGCACGAAGGAAAGTGAAGCGGTGAATACCATGTCGAAAGAACCAGGCCTCTATGTTCTTGAGCTTGTACTCAACAGGCAGGGCTACCTTTCGCGTCACACCGCCAACTGCAAAGAAGTCAAACAAAATCTCATGTGACAAAATTATGCAAACACCGGACAATACCGGCCTCCGCAAGGCCCGCAACCCAGCTCATCCTTGGCTCTCAACAGCCGGCAGGTAAATAGATGCAAAATTCAGTAGGACCCTCTCCTAAACAAGCCTCACAGATTGCTGGTAAAGTCTTTCAATGATAACCTGCCATCCCTCAAGAGGAGCAGCTTGTCTGCCTGGCCCTCCGCTGCATCGGGAACCTGCCAGAGACTGCGCAGTGAAACCGAGCCTACCTCAGACTCAGACAAGCGCAGTATGGCTGACGGTCCGAATTTAGCGAGTCTCAGCTCTGGTGGTTTTGTAGGCCCTGGCCACTCAGATCAGACCCCCCATGCCACGCCTGCAGGTTCGCGGGCACCTCGTAGAGACGCTCCTCGCGACTCTTCTCTATCTCGGGCTCCTCCTGCTCCTGCACGAGGCCCCAACCAGGAGATCCCCAACAAGAACAAGCCTTTGTCTCACAATTGCATGATGAAAGCAGGCATCTGGAACTCTTGCACTGGATCACAATTCAGTAGCACTGAGCACGGAAGCCAAAAGAATGCCTTGCGCTTGTTGTAAAGGCGCTCGTTGAGGTAAGCCTGCAAAATTCGACTACCAACACCGGGCAGATTTACCATCAAGCTTCACGGCCTCGTTTGCTCTTGCTTGGTCCCGAGCCCCTAAACACACCGCACACCTGGAGCATCCTTGTCATGTTCGGCTTCATTCTCTCATCCCTTCGGTCGAGTCCCAACGATGACCCCGAAAGCATCTCAAAGCATCTCAAAGCCCCCGGCCTCCAGGTGATGGTCGGGTCCCTTCTGACCGGCTGTGCCCGAGAATGACTTTTCCAGGAGACCCCACTGCTCCTTGTCCTCCTTGTATCAACTGGTCGGATCTCGAGTGCCGAGACAGGCAAGAACAGCCAAAACGCCTCCTCTTCCTCTTCCTCCGGCTGCTTCATCATCTCGGGGACCGGCACCACCTGGCACATGCGGCCACGTTCTGATCCAAAGCCTCTGCTCGGAAGGCTGTTCAAAGGAGAGCCAGGCAGGCTCCTCTTGGTTTTCCCCACTGCTCCTTCTGAACAAGTCGAACCTGCAGCCAGTGACGTCCAAGTCCAGGTTTAGGAAAACTAGGCTTTGAGGAAATGCCTCTTGAAGCTTTTGCTGCTCCGCGGTTTCGCTGTCCTGCTACCAGACTGACTCTCGGCGCCAACGTTGGTCCCGCGGGAAAGAACGCCAGACAAATCCACGAACCTGCCTCATCGTCATC